CACCATAAATGCTCACAGAAAAACTTGAAAGATCTTTTTTCTTTGTGTTTACAATTTTGGTGTTTTTAAGCATTGTTGCAATTATCCCACTCATCCACTACAGCAACATCATCTACCACCATATCTCAATAAGCAATTTTTGTCAAAATTGGTTTTTGGGGGGTGGGGTAACATTGTATACAATATCTCAACCCCTATGTAATATATTTTCATTTTGTTTTTGGTATAGGATAGTACAATGGTTAAGGCAGATTTTAATACCCAGTTATAGTGGTTTTATTTTCACAGTTCAAAGGAATTAATGTTTTACCTACTCACAAGATTTTAAAATGAAGTAAAAAAACATGATTTTTACCAATGTTTCCACTGAGAATTGGAATAACAGTTAAATGAAACAAAATGTGCACCAAATTCAGATAACCGAACATATTACCTGAAATCAAAGACATAATTTGGATAGTTTAATGACTTAATAAAAATGTTACAGCCAATTTTGTCAAATTATGCATTTTTCCTTCAATTTATGCAATTTTGACCCCCTGAAAATTCCTGCACACACTTGCAAGCTTACTACCCAATGAAAATTGTGTACAGATACCTCCTTTATGCAATAGAAAAGGTTTAAGGTATACAGGAAAATGTGGGAACGAAAATCTTGTTTTTCACCCCTAGCCAACAGACTACCAGGACTTGACTTCAGAAATCAGGGTTTCATCATCTGTGAAACGTTTTCCCTTCAAAAATGACTTCATGGTTGGAAAGAGGTGGAAGTCAGATGGTGCAAGGTCAGGAGAGTAAGGAGGATGTGGAAGGATTTCATAGCCACAGGACCGCGCTTCTGTCTGGGCAACATGAGAGTTGTGTACTGGAGCATTGTCTTGCAGGAGACGGACACCCTTGGTCAGCATGCCACGCCTCTTAAGCTTGATAGCGTCCCGCAGTTTCCGCAGCAGTGAAACAGAATAAGCTCCTGTAATTGTGGTACCCTTTGCCAAGAAATCCATCATCACTACTCCGTGCTGGTCCAAAAACACCGTGAGCATGACCTTGCCTGCAGAGGGTTGGACACGTGCCTTCTTTGGGGCTGGTGACTCCACATGCTTCCATTGCATCGACTGAACTTTAGTCTCAGGATAATAGTGATGGACCCATGTTTCATCCTGTATGATAAGTCTGTCAAAAAAGTTTGCCTGTTTTTTTTTGGCACATGTCCAAAAGATCCTTTGAGCAATTGACTCGTTCCTGCTTTTGGAAAGGTGTGAGCAACCTGGGAATCCATCGTGCAGACACCTTATGCATGTTCAAATTGTCATGGATGATTTTTTCCACAGACCCTACACTGATCTTGACATCTTGTGCTAACTGGCGAACAGTTATACGTCGGTCTGCCAAGTCTCCACTTGATGGATAGTGTCCTCATCAATGGCTGAATGGGGGCGACCAGGAATGGCAGCTGTTTCCACAGATGTCTGACCACACTTGAACGGGCGATGCCAGTGTTTAACAACGTCATATGATGGGGCATCTTCCCCATAAGTTGCTTTCATTTCATCGAAAGTTTCTTTTGGTGTGCGACCTTTCAAATATAAAAACCTAATTACTGCTCGGTATTCTACTGGCTCCATTGTCACACCCTACTCGATCATAACACCTGTAAAAGTGGTAAGATTAATAGTTTGGTGCTGCAAATTCAGACATAACCCTTAGATACATGTATCATTACACATGTGAAATTTCAACCAAATATAATAACCCTAAGTGGTTTAGGGGAAATCTTTAATGAACACCCCTCGTAAATGGAGAGAGTGACGAGTCAACAGCTTAGGCACTTGGTTCCGGTGCGCCTGCACGGGACAGAGTTGAATTTGGGTGAGATGTTGTCTCTGTTCTCTGGGAACACAATACAGGAAGTTTCCGCTACCATTTCGGAAATGAGATGAAATTAGCCATAAGCAGGGGTCCGGAAACCGTCATATGCGCCGGACATGTCCAATTGGGAATCTCAAATGTCCGTTTTAAAATATTGCTTACCGGACATTTTAAAAAGTATTGTCCGGACATTCTAAAATTTTGACCGGACATGATCAACAGTTAGGACTGAGCAGTTTCTGTCTGCAGTTGCAACACAATGAAGATTAACTACACTGACAAGCTTTGTTTGTTTTGATTGCTGTAAATACATCGTACCTACATGATAGTCCAATCGGTCAATCACTGTAATAGGCAATAAACTGAGTTGACACTGATTAATCGAGGATTAATTACTGAGAACATCTTGTTAATTTGAGTGAAAGGTGTTTACAACTGTACATTAATACCTTGCATCATCGATGTACCTCATTATCCTCACAATGCTACGATACGTAACCTCAGACAAGAAGCGAAAGCGTGACGACAGCCAGTCGACCGATGCAGATCAGTCGAGCGGATCTGCCAAACCCTCAAAGTCTGGACGATCATTTTGTAAGTCGTGGCTAACGACTTTCACTTGGTTGACATACAATGAGGATTTGCAGATTTTCAGTAGCTAGTCGTATATTGAATCTTGATTGACCGCCATTTTGCTTTCTCGGACGATCGATATCCAATTTTTTTATGGTCAATAATTAAGTACAGATGAAAAAAGTATTCAAATAACTATTGCTATCAACGATATTTAGAATTGGTGATTAAATTATCTGTCTTGTTTTTAAAAAAATCTATAGTTTAAAAAAACCTTTTCCCGTGAGGTCACGTGATAACCAAATATGGGATAATAGTCTCGATCCAAATGTTACAACGCGTACACTTGAGCAGACTCATGAATATAACTCATGAATATTAATTAGACCATTCACTACGTTAACAGATCTTTATTATAACAGAAACAAACCCATGTTTTCCATGTAAATCTAAAATGATATTATTTGTTATTAATTGTCCGGTGAATTAAACAATTGAAATTGAAACAATTCATAATTCATCATATTATGAATACATAAACTTGTAATGTGTGTGAAAAGTCGTACTAAAATACGCTATTTGAAGGGGGCGTGGCCTAAATGCAAATGTCCGATTGAGATTTTAAATTTTCCGGACCTCTGGCCATAAGTATGAGTCTGGATAAGTATAAATGATATTATCATCCAAAACTGGCTCCCACAGGAAATATTGCTTTGGTGAGGTCAAGCGATATCTACATTGTAGATATCACTGCAATGAAATTGCATCACAATGCTTTGCAGACCATTGTGACATCATTGGTTACCATGACGTCACAATCAAATGACATCACTAATGGCTCTGCTACTGAAGTTGTTAGCAGTACTTTTAAGGATTGACTGTGTATTTTTTTTCGGTTCATTGAGGTATGAATCGAAAAACCAATGTGCAAACTTTTGTAAGAATCCGCTACGCGGATTCATACAGTTTCCACATCGGTTTTTCGATTCATACCTCAATGAACCAAAAAAAATACAGTCAATGCTTATAATTAAATTTGACAACATAAAACATGTTTTATCTACAATAGTTTAACCAAAAACAGTTGTATATATCAAAACAGACAAAAATGACGAGATGGATAAACATTCCAGGTGTAGGAATACATAATGTGGCGTGACATGAATCAGGTGATCGTTTAATTTAAGCACATAACTTGACACGCCTACACAGTCAGTAGCCAATCAACGGAGAGCAGGATCAAAACAATGTTCATTGCACCTTGTCAATTAAGACAAGAGGGGAAAAGAACTGCAACAGTCAGACTGCAACGAACCGGAAGAATTATGTCCGGGAGAAGGCGGCTGTTTCAAATTACATGGTCAGTAACCGCCAGATTCAAACATTACTACCCTAATTAAGGTAAAACACAGCTGGAAAAATGCTAGTTAGAAATGAAACCCGAAGACATGAAAGTTGAATCGAGGCGAGCAGAAAAAAAACATGCGCACGTTTGCTGTTTCATTCATTCTCGGCCTTCGGTTTAAAAAAGGTTTGTTTGGACAATGAAAATGCATGAAAGTCGCTAAATGTCCTGTGCATGACGATACACGTGAGCAGAAAGGGAATTCCCTCGACTGTAGTATTGGGATTCCCCGACATTCTGAAGTAATAAAAGTAGTGCGCCTTGGTGTGCGTGGCTTAAGTTTTTACATTCATTGGGAAATGAATGCAATAACACATGACCAATTCAGCTGATCAGAATACAGGAATTTCAATGAACACAACGAAAATTTAATTATTTACACTTAAAGCCCCCGTTTCACTATCAAAAACCAAGTTTTCTTAGTCCAAGTTGGGTATTCACACTCATCAAAGTTTTTGACGGGCCGTCAGAATTTTTCGGAGTCGAGGTAGACAAAGGCATATTTGTCCCCGAGAATGGCTGCTCGTTGTTGAACCAAATCAATTAATTCTTCTAACATCTCATCAGTCCAAAATAGTTGGCTCATTCTGACTTGACTTGATGCACTTCTGGTTGAAAAGGGGTAAATGTTCCTTGCATTCTGATTGGCTAAATTAAATCAGTGTCATCAAACTTTGATAAAAGATTGACGAGAAATATGATCGGTTTCTATTCCTTCAAAGTCCGTCAAGTTTTTACTTTGACCAAGTTTTTGACAGTGTAACAGGATAAATGATGTTGAATGATAAATAAAATCTCACCGGAGTGTCGTTTGATATCAAATATATCAACACGAGTTGATAAAAGTGGGAAAACTCCAAGGCTTGCAGGTATTGACCTAAAAAAATGTTTCAGTAGGGCAGTTGTGGGACATTCAGGATAAGGTGGGGCAAGTGCTGTTTCCATTTCTTGTAATGATAACACCTTTTTTGTTACTCTTTAGCTTAGCAGAATTTTCTATGTTCTTTCATGTACAATGTGTTTTAAACTGCCTATTGGTTGTATGACTGTTATAAGACTCCTATGCTAGGCCCATGTTTCAGAGCTATGCTTAATGTGAGGGCAAATAGAAATACCTAGTGACACACAATCATGTAAAAACTGTTGGTTTCAGATTAACAGAGTTTCAGCAGGAGAATATGACACTGAAAATCAGCCTTAAGAATGCCAAGAAGAGACTGAAGGTCAGTATGGTAGATGTTCTGTAACGTAATGGGTAAAGACCTATCCTTGAGCACCAGCCCATTTCCTTTTGTTTCTATTTGAGTAAAGTTAGCCCACGCTTTATTTTGCAGTGCTAAATTTGTCAGATTAAATCAGACTGGATGCTTTTCACGCTCAAGATCTCAATCTGTCTGTAGATATGGGAAATTAACAATTGTATGATGTCTGAAGTAAATCTTTGCGACACATGCTTGTTTGGTTTAGTAAAGTGTAAATAAAAAATATAAAGCAGAATTCTCTTATTCTTTTGTGAATGAAAAAAGTTCCAATATGACCTTAGCAAGGTCATGAATACACAATGCCAGTGCCTCACTCTGGCAAGTGTGGGTTCGAATCCCGGACGGGACTCAACCCAAAAGAAGTATGAGAATCTGTACTTTCTTAAGAAAGTGTTACCCCGAATATAACATTTGGTACATTAGCAAGGTCATGGTTATTCAGTGGAAACTAATAAAAACAAGTTTCACCTTGTACAAGTATCTCATCACATGTCACTTCATGTAGGTGACAGAACCCAATATTCTACAATGTTGTCTTCCTGTAATCCAATGCTTCTTGATCAGATTTTTGGGTGGATAATGTTCACTGCTTCTAGCATTATTGAATCCACTCATCTTGGAGAAAGTGAAATTTTTCTGCTGAGTTCTGGGATCAAATTTCACTGTTGACTTCCCTTGCAATGTTTGAGCTATGTTTTTTCAAGTATTGGAACACACTAGTTTGGTACTCAAGTGCCTGTATGACAGAAAACTATGATCATGGGTTCAAATTGTGCCCTAATTTTGTTTAGACTCAGTATGTCAGCATCATGAACACAATCCCCCCTGGTCTGCTGTGTGCTCTTGTCATTGTATGTTGATTGTTGTGTGATGATTGTTGTGTACAAACAAATCTGAAAAACAGTTATGAGAGTGTAGTAAATGAACTCATTGAATTATATTTTTGAATCAGTGAAGCACCTTTTGTAAATAAGGTGAGGTGAAATAGGGTTTAACGTTGTGTCCAAGATTATTGCACTTATATAGCAACGTACATGCATGTGTGTGTGGCGGCTTGTACTAGTCTGGTCTGATGCCGATTTATAGTGCTAGCCCACTGAGACACCATACCGCAGTTTAACCTGAATACCCCACTCAGACACAGTATACTGACTCCGAGCAGACCAGTCCTTGTTTTAGCCCCTTAATGTCGAGCGCCAGACAGGGTAACAACAAGTACCATATTTTAACGTCTGTTGGTATGACCTTCCGTTCTCCGGGCGGACGCTCTACCACTAGACCACGAAGGCGGTCTCCTTTGTAAACAAAATGAATGTGCGGGTTGTTTAAGGGTGGAAGGTACTCGTAAGTAAGTTTATTGCATCGTAATAAAAAACCAGATTTAGTGATGTTGTTAGTTCAGTGAGAAATCAAATTACATTGTGCAGATGCATGAAACATTGCATAGGATCTGCCCTTAAATTGGTTAGCACTTGACATGTTTTCTCAAACCAAAACAGATGTCATTAAAACTTTGTCATTAAGCTACACACAGGCACAGGACATATTGTTTTTAAGTTTTACTGCATGTGGCATGTGTATTCCCAAAGAGATGTTACAACTGGAAATGCTTATAACTTTGTTATAGATAGCTATAGAAGCATAAAACTTATCATTCTTGCGATTCCTCTACCTCTATTACATCCTTGTCATAAATCCTGTATTTTGGCTTTAGTCACACCAACTAAATTTTCTGATTTTTAACAGACGTCCTCTTCACTGTCTAACACAAATTAGTTGTTCCCAATATAGCACTATAGCAACCCAAGCTATGACATGCATAAACGTGTGGGAAGTCTCACTTCTTTCCTGTTTTGTGCTAGAGTCAACACCTATTGTTATAGTTATAACTATCTAGCACTTGGTATTAGTCACAATAATCTAAGATTGTTCTGTAAGTTTTCTTAAAACAGACATATTAAGTCTATATTTATAGCTGCTTAGAATAATGATGATCATACTCACGTAAGTATAAGCTGGTGTGAGGTGTTTGTAAGGTCGGCATGGAGTCTCCGTCTTCTTCTGCTTGTAAGAAGTGTCGCCATTTTTATTATCACGGGAGATCCTCATAACTACTGCTGGAAGTGCAGGGAGGCCAAATGTACCGATGAGGCGAGATGTGAGCAGTGCCCCACTCTATCTAAGAAGGCCTTCAACAAGCTATTAAAGCTAGAAGACGAGAAGCAGCCAAGAAGTAAGTCGATGTCATTATTGCTATAGACTCTGAATTAGCTTCTGACTCTATCTCAGCGCCTCTACCATGCGTTCTCTATGAACTTGATTGAACAACTCTTCAAACAACAGAAGGAGATGATGGAGTCGATGTTTGAGTCACACTTCTCAGCTGTAGCTCAAGATATGGAGATGATCAAGAAGAAACAGACAGTATTGGCTAAGAAGGGTCCTCTGGCCAAGAGACTGCACGGGAGACAGCTATCTGTTTCTGCCATATGGCCCGAGCCAAACCATACCGACCAATCCGACCAGCTGGGTAGAAGCTCTCAAGCTTTACCCTCCTGTGATACATGGGCATCTAGATCTCGGTCTTGACAGGCTACCACAAGGCCATACTCACCAGGTAAGACACAGTATGCTCACCGCACGGACTCCATGGTAACCCAGCAGACGGTTATGGTAGCATCACTTCAACCATATGGTAGCCATCAACCAACGGTACCCAAGCCGACTGCTCAGGCCACACAGGATCATCCAACCGACCGAGACGAAGATTACATCATGGGACAGTCCAGACCATCATTTCCGTATGGGCTTCGTTATACACGGCAGTCATCACAAGCAGCACGGACCTTACTCAAAGCAGAATCGTGGACACAAGCAGATGATGAACTGCACGTTGAGTGTATGGATTATGATGAACATCCACCCCTCCCTGGGAGTTTACCCACGGTCATTCTTAGGCGGAATCGGACCTATATGAGGAGGTTAATCAGTCTGACCATTCACCCAAGCAGGATTATACAGAAGGATACAGCTTTGTTGAAGTCATTGAAGATTTGTATCACCTTATGCCTGTACTCCAACCTCCAATGACAGAAAATTCACCACCTAAGACGCCGGAATATGGAGAATGTCATGCTCCTACATCATTTCAACATATCCACCAGACATTGCCGTGGCTGAGTTATGCAGTTAAGGTGGTAGGTCAGGCGTCAGAAATGATGACCAGCTTCCCTCACCTCCATTGAAGCGGAAGTTGTATAAAACACATGATTCTCCACTTCCAGATCATCAAGTTTATGACGAACACTTTATGAAGCTAGCGCACGATGCTGATGCTAATGTCACATTACCTGCTTCCCGGATCAAAGACCTGTCTATGGTGTCCAGACATTCAATGTACATTGGCACATATATCAACTTGTTTGTCTCCGGAATCAGGTACATGATTCCAGCGTTGCAGACAGTCAAGAGACTCCTATGAATATTAGGACGGTTCAAGTCTGACTCATTCACAGCCTGCTAGACACCAAAGTCAGAATGCAAGAAGACTTACCATCCAGCCAAGTGTGGATGTCTTCACAGCTACTCTGGGTTCAACGTCAACAACTGCTAGCACAGATTCATACAAGAGCTGTTTCCAACCAAACGAAGAGGTTGATATGTGACAACCAATATCTGCTCCCAAGATGTTCAACGGTAAAGTGGGACATGTCTTAGATGAGGTCAGACAAGATACAACGGAATGATTCCAAGTATCAACCATCAACCTAGCTGCCAAGGCACATGGATCTTTCTATCCCCCGAAATGTTCCTGGGATCAGGACTCATCCCCTCTTGGAAGGATTTGTTCCAACTGAGTCGGGGGTACAACAAGCACCAATCTTCACAGGAATCTTTTCGTCAGTCCGACTACAAGACAGGGGGCAGAGGTGAACGCAAGTTCTGACTTCCTTGCCACCAATTCCTCCGCCAGACCGTCTCGACCTGGTTATGTCTATGGACTGCGATTTACACCTACCATCTTTCAACATAACTCCAGGGCCAGTGGGAAGGCGTCTTATGTCATATGCTGAAAATTGGAAGCAAATTACGCCTGACCGCTGGGTCCTAGACATCGTGGCTCATAGATACAAACTGCATTTCAAGAAACATCCCATCCTGAAATCTCAAGCCTTCAGATGCAGATTTCGTCTGGTCGGAACCAAGCTAGTGGTAACAGATCTGGCCATCAGGAAGCTACGTAAGAAACTATTGGCGACAAAAAAAAAGACTTTTATTCACCGGTATTCTTAGTTCTGAAAAGGAATTCACCCGACTTGATAATCGATTTAAAGATCCTCAACAAGAAATTTCTGGTACCGCCTCCAAAGTTCAAGATGGAATCTGTAAGGAAGTTGCAGTCAACTTTGAGGACAGGAGATTGGCTCATCAGCCGCCGACCTGCAAGATGCCTATCTTCACGTCCCAATACACCTATCATCACAGAAATACCTGCGCTTCACAATCAATGGTCGACGTTACGAGTTCCAGATCTTGATATCAATAGCTCCTTGGCTATTTACCAGGATTACAGCGCCAGTCATCAGTTTTCCCCCCCTCAGCTAGTACGAATCCATGGCTACCTGGAAGATTTCCTGGCAGCAGACCAAGAAGAAGCTCAGCTTCACCAGAACATATTATTTCTGGTCCAGCTTATGACTTACCTAGGATTCCTAGTCAATCCCTCCAAGTCTGAGACCACTCCGGTTCAAGACATCGTTTATATCGGAGCGCATTTCCAACTACACAAGGGATATCTATGTCAACCAGATCGATTCATCAAGACTATCAAGATGATTCAATCCCTATCAAGTCAACCCAGCAGGTCGCTAAGATGGTGGATGTCTCTTCTTGGCAACTTAACATCTCTACAGGATATGACCTTCAGAGGAAGGTTGAAGTTATGTCCTCTACAGACATCGATAAACTCTCTACGATCCCACCCCCCAAAAGTTTGATACTCAGTTACCTCCCAACTTAGTAAGAGACCTGCATTGGTGGACTCACTGAGAACATGTGATGAGCGGAATCCCTCTGACTTCTCAGATGCCTGAACACCATCTATATACAGACGCGTCAGATTCGGGATGGGGAGCCCATATGGACGATCTCACGGTACAAGGATCTTGGAACCCCGGAGAGAAGAACCTTCATATCAATTGCAAGGAAATGAAGGACATCTATTACGCCATCCCGGCATGGAAGATACATCTCTCACAATTGTCCATCCTCATAACCACGGACAACACCAAAGTAGAGGCTTACATCCAGAAACAAGGAGGAACCAGATCCAGATCTCTGATGACGGAGACTACACAACTGTTTGCCTTGGCAGACTCCATCATTTGCGGGCGGTCGGGTAGCCTAGTGGTTAAAGCGTTCGCTCGTCACGCAGAAGACCCGTGTTTGATTCCCGACATGGGTACAATGTGTGAAGCCCATTTCTGGTGTCCCTGCCATGATATTGCTGGAATATTGCTAAAAGCTGTGTAAAACCATCCTCACTCACTCACTCACTCCATCAGTTGCCGGATGGAAGCGAGACACATTCCCAGGAAACTGAACATCTTTGAAGACAGCCTTTCCTGTCAGGGGAGAATAGTGGCAACAGAATGGACACTAGATACTCAGATATTTGCTTGAATAACCATGTTATGGCACAACTCCTTGATCTTTGTCACCTGCCAAAACCATCAACTTCGGTTAATGTCAGTCCAGTTCCTGATCCAATGGCACACCAGATCGATGAGCTATGTTTGGATGGGTCTATTTGCATACGCATTCCCACCATGGCCTCTCCTAGACAAGATCATCCACAAGGTGGAGGAGACAAATTGCATGATAATCGTGATAGCACCAATCTGGCCCCAGACTATTAAGTCTTTTGTTGGAAGAACCTCTCCAGTTACCTCTCCTTTGAGATCTTTACGAGTCAAACATTTTCTACAAAAACATGCTCAATCTACATCTAACCACCTGGAAGTTATCACACAGAAGATGCAGACATCCGGATAATCTGAACTTGCCTCAGAAGCAGTGGCAAGATCATAGAGACCTTCATCCTCCCTTATATGACAACAGATGGGATAAGTTCGTCCAGTGGAGAAGACGACAAGGGATTATAACTAATACAATATCCATCCCCATGGTAGTGGACTTTCTACTACATTTATGCAAGGACAATAAGTTCTGACATGGGACGATAGAAGGTTACAGATCAGCACTTTATCTGTACTTTAACATGACGGACTCTCAATTGAAAACCATCCCATTCTAAACAGACTAATGAGATTCTTCCTACTAGAAGAGGTTCGCAAACCTCATATCTTCCCCTAGTGGATTCTATCTGTTGTGTTATCGGCACTCTTAATGGAACCTAACAAGCCCCTTGCTAAGGCCACCTTCCTACAAAAATCCAGGAAAACATCCTTCCGCCTAGCCATGGCGACAGCAGCAAAGGTTTCAGAGCTCCATGCTTTGGACTATTCTAGCCTCACCCATTATCAACATTGGACGTCAATCTCTCTCTGATTGCTCCCAGATTTTGTTTGCCAAGAGTCAATCTACCAACATGGAGCCTTTGGGCCATAGACACTATACCAGTCCTGCCTTAGGGCTGACAGTGGATCACCCAGACAGACTCTTATGTCCCATCAGAGCTCTCAAGTTCTATCTCTCGGCTACAGACCCTCATAGACGAAATCAAAGGAGACTATTCATTTCAACAAAGACATCACCAAGGCTACGATAGCAGTCAGTTATATGCAGGCACAGAATTCCACTTCACGTCTCAGATCCTGCTCAGTTCACTAAATCATAGCCCTAGCCACGAGTCTCGCTTCATGGACATCCGTTTCAGTGGAACAAGTTGTGTCTAGTTGTCAGTGGGCCTCACAAAACACCTTCACCAGTTTTTACTTGTGTGATGTACAGCCGGACCTAGAGGGCATATATTCCCTTGGGCCCATTGTCGGGGCGCAAACTATCATCCACAAATAGTTTCCTCCTTCTATCAAAAAAAGGGGGGAGGGGGGCAAGGATCTGACACCAGCAGCATCAGAGGGTGAGTACACCTTTGATTATCCTGTTTATTAGAAGACCGGAAGTGAGATCATAACCGGAAGTCATGTCGGAAATAGCAATACAAGGTCCATCTAATGAGGAAATGACGTCTTTTGGTAGAAATTGACCATAAGAGACGTCATTATCTACTAAAGGGAAGTGACAAACCGGAAGTAAGGTAGGAATCAGTGATTAAATGGTTTCCAGAAGAGGATTACTGTCAATTACAAAGGGAGTTACTTGAGGCAGATACGGCCGAGTCCCAGTGGTGTATTCTGGCAAAGATGTAATAGAGATAGAGGATTCGCAAGAATTATCAAGCAATAGTTAATAATTCGAAGAATACTACCTCTATTACATCAGTACTCCAACCTACCTCCACAATTTATCTACCTCTAGTAGTTAGATGTTGGAAAGAAGTGAGATTACGCCATTACGCACATCATAGCTTGGGTTGCTAAAGTGCTAGATTGGGAACAACTAATGTGTGTAATTGACAGTGAAGAGGACGTCTTTTGAAAATCTGAAAATTTAGTTAGTGTGACTGAAACCAAAATACAGGATTTATGGCAAAGATGTGATAGAGGTAAGTATACTTAGAATTATTAACAGTGATAACTATTGTTCAATGATTTTGATGTATTGGACATTTATTTTTCCTAAATCCCCAGGTGATGTAAATAAACTGGAAGTGCTTATGATGTGTTATGTAGGAAAGCTAGGGGCACAGGGCTAGGTTGTGCTGCATGAGAGAACATCGGGGATCAAAGAAGTTGTTTGTTTGTAAGTAAGGATAAGATATATGGATGAAAAACTTCTTTAGTACAATTAGGAGTGACGTTTCGGTGTAGGTTCTAACACCGTTATCTAGCATGTGATGATAACGGTGTTAGAACCTACACCGCAACGTCGCTCCTAATTGTAATAAAGAAGTTGTTCACCCATATGTCTTATCCTTACTTATAGTACCCCAACTTCTAAATGCCACTCAAAGAAGTTAAGTTGTTTGTTTGTTTAGCACAACACTCTGCAGTATTTCAGCTGTATGATGGCAGTCTGTAACCAGACCATTCTTGGTGTCTTGATTTATATTCATTTTTCACCTTCACATCACTTCATTTATCTAGTTTTGATGTCAATTTCACACATCGATCAGCTATATTGGCATGTATCATTATGAAATTATGTTTACAGTAACAATGTTATATGCCCAATAACATGTTATACTTTGCAGTATTGTGATATTTGGCATTTATGTGCCCCTGTGGCCAATAGTGCCATTGTAGTCAGGGTAAATGTGTTATTTTGGCTTCTTTCACAGCCAATTTTTCATTGTGAATAATCCCATTAGCATTCTTTGAAGATGTATATTGTGTAGAAGCATTCTGGTGAGATCCTCCTCTTTCTCGTTTTGTAGAATAATGATCGCAGTGGTCTACCAGGGGAAACAACCACAGACATTGATCATATTCGAGCAGAGCTCGAAGCTAAATATCACATGGAACTAAACAAGAAGCTGAAGGAGGTGAATTGTTACCTGGAACAGCAAGCTCGGGCTCAAGATCAGCTGCACGTATCTCATGGGGAGAATGAGTCTAGGTTGGCCATGGATAAAAAGAATCTTGAGGTATGTATCACCTAAGAATCATATCAGACTTTAAACAAGTATTGATAGGAGGATTGCTTGACTTCTGACCAAAAATGTAAACATAATTATATTCAATATTCAGAAATCATAGACAAAACATTTTCAAAGAACACAGATCACAAGATACAACTTATAGTAAACTTTTGACTGGCCAAAATGCACCTGGTGTGGTCTGTAAACATTTCCTCGGTTACCACTAGACAAATTTGTCCTCAGCCATATTGAAAACTAATTATTTAGCCATTTTCGTTCAAAATGTAATGAAATTTGGTAAATATGATTCAGTAGTTAGTAGTGAATCTTAATATGTTCCATGTTTCGCGATGTTATAAATTATTACCTTGAACTGACATTTGCATTTTCAATATGCTCTTATTAATGCTCTCAAAATGCATTCTTTATTCTATAAAAACCCACTGGACCTGTGAATCTGAAACTTCACATGCTTGTTTCCATTAATGAAAATACCCAAATTTGTCAGAGGTTTGAATCCAATTTTCATGATTGAAAACCATTTTATGGCCATGATTGCTATTATTATTTTCAATAAGTAATGAAAATTTGTATATTTTTCACCTTGCTATTGACCATTCTCCAAAATTCACTAAAAATGCATTTACCTGTACTGATAATACCATCTCATCAGACACCACCGACCCAATGAAGCTGAAACCTCACATCCTTCATGCCACCGTTGATGACACCAGAAAATGCTCAAGTAATTTGAATCCGAATTCAACATACCTACCATTGAGCCATACTGAAAAACCTAAGTCTTGCGATTCCTCTACCTCTAAAACATCTTTGCCATAAATCCTGTATTTTGGCTTCAGTCAAACTAACTAAAATTTTCAGATTTTCAACAGACGTCCGCTTCACTGTCAATCACACACAATTAGTTGTTCCCAAATAGCATCGCAACCACCCATGCTATGAAGTATACAATGGCGGAAACCTCACTTTTTTCCTGTGTGTGCTGGAGTCAAGACCTATTGTTATAGTAGTAACGATTTAGCCCTTGGAATTAGACACATTATTATTCTAATAGTTTCAGACAACAGTAAGTAGATATTAATAGCTGCTAACTGTAGTTATGATCACACGCATGTGAGCATAAGCTGGTGTGAGGTTGTTGTTGTGAGGTCATAATGCCGTCTCTCTTTACTCCCACTTGCAATAAGCGTGGTGGGCTTATGATCACGGGAGATCCTCATGTTAACTGCACAAATTGCAGAGGTACTACCTGTACAGGGGAGGCAAGATGTGGGCAGTGCGCCAATACATTAGCTGAGACTGTAACTAAGGCTAAGAGGCGTGAAGCGGCCAAGGAGAAAGTGGAAGTCATCACGGCAGCAGACATCAGGCTTCATCCCCAGCGCCTCCTCCTACTCCAGCAGAACAACCATCCCCTAGGCACTCCATTGAGATGCGGTTCTCAGCCTCAAACAAAGAGATAGAGAATATGAAGAGTAATCAGATAGCTCTGGCGAAGAAAAGTCCCCCGGTCAAGAGACAGCTTGGGGGACTGCCATCTGTCACTACAGCTCACATGGCTGTACGGCCTACCCATGCCAACCTTTTTACCGACCAACCATCCAGCCAGACAGCCAGCTGTCCAACCAATCAGCCGTACGGCCAGCCGACTGACAAGCCGGGTATAAGCATGCAAACTTTTCCCTACTATGATACATAGGCAACTAGATCTTTGCTTGGGTCGCAGCAGGGTTCCGCAAGGCCATTCTTCCCAGCTAAGACTCTGTACAGTCACCACAAGGACTTCCATGACAACCCAGCCGACCCTCCAGCTGACAGCCCAGCCGACCGTGAGGGTACGGTTACAGCATGGACTCCATGCCGACCGTCCAGCCGACCGTACCCAAGCCAGCCGCACGGACCACACGGAGCCGTCCAACTGCCCATATAGCCGACCGAGATGATGTTTACCGTACGGGCAGCCATCACAATCCGCATGGACTTTAATCATATGAGAATCACACGGGGAAGACGTGGCAGACTATTACGAATATCCACCCCCCCACAGGAGCTACCCACGGTAACTCGGAGGCAGAAACAGAGTGTTTTGAAGACTGTCATCAGGCTGACGACTTACCCGGGATTATAATTAGGGATATACCTTCGTGGATTAAAGATCTGTTCATGGTATCCAGATATTTATTGGACATCAGCGCTTATATCAACTGGTTTGTCGCCTGAATCAGACACTTCATTCCACCATTATAGACATCTTATAACGGCATATCTGGAGAGACTCCTTTGAGTATTTAGGTCTGATCAAGTTGGACTCTTCCACAGCCTACTAGATACAGAATGCAGAAAGACTTTCTCTCCACCCAAGTCTTCACAGCTACCATGGATGCAACGTCAACAACTACTAGCACAGATTTGTTCAAGAGCTGTTTCTAACTAAACCAAGAGATTGATAATGTCACAACCAATATCTGCGCCCATGACATTCAATGGGTAATTGGTACATGTCAAAGAGAAGCTGAGACATAATACAACTGAATGATTCCAAGCATCTACTATCAGCCTAGCTGCCTAGGCCCATGGATCTTCCCAGCCCCAGAAGCCTTCCTGGGATCAGAAAGACTCATCGTATAAACAGCCTCCTAAGAAGTTTGTCTCCTCCAGGAAGGATTTGTTCGAACCAAGTCGGGGGTACAACAAGCACCAATCTTCACAGGAATCTTTTCGTCAGTTCGACTACAAGAAACGAGGGTCCCATTGCTGGGGCAGATCTTGGGACAAAGGTGAACACAGATTCTGACTTCCTTACCACCCACTCCGATGTTATAGACCCTTTTGACCTGGTTATGTCTATGGACTGCGATTTACGCCTACTGTCTTGCGGACTAATGCCAACTTGGGGACCAGTGGGAGGGTGCCTTTTGTCATACGCCGAAAATTGGAAGCAGATGACACCCGACCGCAAGATTGTAGAAGTTGTGGCTCACGGATACAAACTGCATTTCAAGAAACATCCTATCTTGAAGACTCAAGCTGTCAGGCGCAGATTTCATCTAATCGGAGCCAAGCTAGCGGCAGCAGATCTGTCCGTCAATAAGCTACTAGAGAAGCAAGCCATTCGGAGACTAGCAGAGACCAACAAGACCAAAAGCTTTTATTCACCAGTATTCCTCGTCCCGAAGAAGAATACGACCGACATGAGGATGATAATCAATCTAAAGCCCCTTGGCTATATACCTGGATTACAGCGCGAGTCATCAGGTTTGCCCACCTCCAACTAGTACAAATCCATGGACACCTGGAGGATTTCCTAGCAGCAGATCAAGAGGAAGCTCAGTTACACCCAGCTCAGTTACCCCAGAACATGATATTTCTGATACAGCTTATGACTTACCTAGGATTCCTAGTCATTCCCTCCAAGTCATAGGCCACTCCAGTTCAGAGATCATATATATCGGAGTATGTTTCCAACTACACAAGGGATATGTCCACCAGATCAATTCATCAAGACTATAAAGATGATTCAATCCCTATCAAGTCAACCCAGCAGGTCGCTAAGGTTGTGGATGTCTCTTCTTGGCAACTTAACATCTCTACAGGATATGACCTTCAGAGGAAGGTTGAAGTTATGTCCTCTACAGACATCGATAAACTCTCTACGATCCCACCCCCAAAAGTTTAATACTCAGTTACCTCCCAACTTAGTAAGAGACCTGCATTGGTGGACTCACTGAGAACATGTGATGAGCGGAATCCCTCTGACTTCTCAGATGCCTGAACACCATCTATATACAGACGTGTCAGGCATGGGGAGCCCATATGGACAATCTCACGGTACAGGGATTTTGGAACACCAGAGAGAAGAACCAAACTCACTCACTCACTCACTCTAAATGCCACTGAAAGAAGTTATTCTAGTCTCACCCATGATCAACATTGGACCTCAATAACTCTAAAATCGCTCCCAGACTTCGTAGCCAAGAATCAGTCTACCACAATGGGGCTGTTGGGCCACAGACATGATACCTTTCCAGCATTGGGACCAACAGTGAATCTCCTTGACAGACTTTTATGTCCCTTCAGAGCTCTCAAGTTCTATCTCTTGGCTACACCAACATAGATGGCATTGAAGGAGACTCTTTATATCTTGCAAGACTCATACCAACAAGGACATCACCAAGGCTACAATAGAAGGCTGTCTTAAAGCTACCGTTGCAGCAAGTTATACACAAGCTCAGAATTCCACGCCACGTCTCGGATCCTGCTCAGCTCATGAAATTAGAGCCCTAGCCACGAGTCTTGCTTTATGGAAATCAGTCTCAGTAGAACAGGTAGTTTCTAGTTGTCAGTGGGCCTCACAAAACACCATTTCCAGTTTTTACTTGCGTGACATGCAACCGGAAATAGAGGGCATATATTCCCTTGGTCCCATTGTCACATCTCAAACTATCATCCACCAATAGTTTTCCCCATTCTGTTGAAAAAAAGGGGGTGTGGGGGGGAGAAGAGAGATCCGACACCAGCAGCATCAGAAAGTGAGTACGTCCTTGATTATGCTGTCTATAGGTGTAGGATGGATTAGGAGCACCTTGCGTATCAACTGCCTCTTGTGACCGGAGTGAGTGAATGAGTTGGGTTTAACGCCGCTTTTAACATTATTCCAGTTATATCACGGTGTGTTAGCTTAATGTGAGAGGAAAGCCCGAAGTGATGCAGCCCTCAGATGTTTACCACTTCGGTGAAACCCACGGGCACGGGTATGGTGCTGACAAACCTAGAAACATAATCGGGGCGAACCGGGATCTGAACCCACTATCGTAGGTTTCTGGCGTGCCCAAGGGACGCAAGTCTACACAGAGAATCACAGCGCTTTAAGGGGCATTCACACGGTACAACTAGTGGTATACAACTTGTTGTATGCAATTAGTTGCACAAACTGAAGTTGTATACAACTCGGCATTCACACGGAGGCGAGTTGCATACAACTCGGG